TTCGGTTTGATCCAGAACTCTTGCGTCTTTCTCATCCTTCATTGCTAGTGTCACCTGAGCCTGGTGGTGCTGAGTGGTGCGTTCCGTAAAGACCGAGGCCTCGACCCATCTTTCGAGCGTAACATAGAGTTCGTTGGCCTCAGACTCGCGCGGCGTAGGCAGTGGTACAAGGGACTTGCCAAGTTTCTTGTAGGCTTCTAATTCATGCGGTTCCACGCGTTTCAGCCACTGAAACCGACAGGAGGAGGAGGAGGACATGTTTAGTTATTATTTTATTTTTTTTTCGGTGACAGGTTTCCCAGTTTTTTGGAAGAAGGACTGTACACTTCATATGCGCGCACAACTAGTCTTGCCACTTATCCTTTTATATAGATTGTAGACAGGATTAACAGGAGGGGTGTATCATGCGTAGAAAACAGTCTATAAACACACATTAATATTTTTGATGGGTTGATATGTTCACCTGGCCAACCTATACGCCATATTCAAACCGGTGTTCGGGAAATTCTGCCAATTTAGAACCCCTATCATGGCTTTGGTGATCACAGCTTGACATAGATGTTTGACACACCATTCTTCTCCTTCGGAACCATTGATCATTTCACCTTATCTACCTAATTATTCTCCTCTGTTGGCTCTCTACTCACGCCGACAGCAATAACCTCCCCGCTGCGGTATACACTAGATACACATGGATCCCACCGCTTAGACTGATTCTCTTTACACGTCTCCTGTCTTCGTACTGCTACGGGTAGTCGTTCTGAACCCATCACTATCACCACAATCAACACTTCGGTCCAACCTGTATCTACTACGATCACACAATTTAACAACACGCATCGACCTAGTTGGTCATCTACCAATCCAGCACATCGTGACTGCACTCAATCTAGCCGCCAACCGGAAAGGTTACTAATGTTTCAGGAAGGGAGGATATAGTGAAACAAATGCTAGGAAACAATGCAAACTCATGAGACGCTTGTGTATTCTTTGCCATAATAAACTTCGCTA